TGGCCCCATAGGGGAGCTCCGCCGAAGGTCCCAGTGACACAGCCCGCATGCGGTTCCCCTGCCCAGGGCAGCGTTTCGCAGCCCCAAAGGAGCTCCACCGAAGGTCCCAGTGGCACAGCCCGCATGCGGTTCCCCCACCCAGGGCACCGCTTCGTAGCCCCATCGGGAGCTCCACCGAAGGTCCCAGTGGCACAGCCCGCATGCGGTTCCCCCACCCAGGGCAGCGTTTCGTCGCCCCATAGGGGGCCCCACCGAAGGTCCCAGCGGCGCAGCCCGCATGCGGTTCCCCCACCCAGGGCAGCGCTTCGTAGCCCCATAGGGAGCTCCAGTGGCACAGCCCGCATGCGGTTCCCCCACCCAGGACAGCGTTTCGTGGCCCCATAGGGAACCCCACCGGAGGTCCCAGTGGCACAGCCCGCATGCGGTTCCCCCACCCAGGGCAGCGTATCGTAGCCCCATAAGGGAGCTCCACCGGAGGTCCCAGTGGCACAGCCCGCATGCGGTTTCCCCACCCAGTACAGCGCTTCGTAACCCCATGGGGAGCTCCACCGAAGGTCCCAGTGGCACAGCCCGCATGCGGTTCCCCCACCCAGGGCAGCGCTTCGTAGCCGCATAGGGGGCTCCACCGAAGGTCCCAGTGGCACAGCCCGCATGCGGTTCCCCCACCCAGGGCACCGCTTCGTGGCCCCACAGGGGGCTCCACCGAAGGTCCCAGTGGCACAGCCCGCATGCGGTCCCCCCGCCCAGGGCAGCGTTTCGTAGCCCCATAGGGAGCTCCACTGAAGATCCCAGTGGCACAGCCCGCGTGCGGTTTCCCCACCTAGGGCAGCGTTTCGTGGCCCCACAGGGAGCTCCACCGAAGGTCCCAGTGGAACAGCCCGCATGCGGTGCCCCCGCCCAGGGCAGCGTTTCGTAGCCCCATAAGGAGCTCCACCGAAGGTCCCAGTGGCACAGCCCGCATGTGGTTCCCTCACCCAGGGCTGCACTTCGTGACCGCATAGGGAGCTCCACCGAAGGCCCCAGTGGTGCAGTTCGCATGCCCCCCCCCCCCCCCCCCTCCCCACCCAAGGCAACGTTTCGTGGCCCCATAGGTAGTTCCCCCGAAGGTCCCAGTGGCGCATGTCGCATGCGTCCCCCCACCACCCACCCAGTACAGCGTTTCGTGGCCTCACAGGGAGCTCCACCAAAGGTCCCAGTGGCACAGCCCGCATGCGGTTCCCCCACCCAGGGCAGCGTTTCGTCGCCCCATAGGGGACCCAACCGAAGGTCCCAGTGGCGTAGCCCGCATGCGGTTCCCCCACCCAGGGCAGCGCTTCGTAGCCCCAAAGGGAGCTCCAGTGGCACAGCCCGCATGCGGTTCCCCATAGGGAGCCCCACCGGAGGTCCCAGTGGCACAGCCCGCATGCGGTTCCCCCACCCAGGGCAGCGTTTCGTCGCCCCATAGAGGAGCTCCACCGAAGGTCCCAGTGGCACAGCCCGCATGCGGTTCCCCCACCCAGTACAGCGCTTCGTGGCCCCATAGGGAGCTCCACCGAAGGACCCAGTGGCGCAGTTCGCATGCCTCCCCCCCGCCCAGTACAGCGCTTCACGGCCCCATACGGGGCTCCCCCGAATGCGATACCCACAGCTGCATATGGTTGGGTCCTTCGCCAGGCTAATTGGGAGCCTCCCATGTCTGACTTGTGGTGTTTTGTAAGTTTGGCAAGGACTTATTGGGCCAGCTTGGGTCGCCTCGTTAGGGCTTATTTGGGCCGTTTTGGAGCCATCTTGCGGCATGCCACCCATTGATCCCCGCTCTCGGGCCTCTCGGAGGCCCTCGTGGGGCCCTTTCGGAGCTGCCTTGAGCCTCTTACGTGACGACCTCGGGGTTTGAGGAGCCCTTGTGGAGCCCTTTCGGGCTCCAGTTGGGGCCATCGTGGGCGGGGGCCACTTTGACCCTTCAGAAGCTCGAGGGGAGAATGCAAGAAGGTCAGAATGTGTGACAACTACATTGGATGCTTGAGGGATATCTTGAAACTTCTTGGGTCATCATGGGGGTCTCTTGGGGACTCTTGGGGCTGCCTTGGGGGCATCCTGGGGCGTGCCGCCCATGGACTCCCATTTGTTTGCCGCTATTGCGCCCTTTTGAGCTTCTCCTGGGGCGTTATTGGGGGATCTTCGGAGCCCTCTCTTGCAGTTACCTTGGCCGTCTTGCGGCCTCAGAAGCTTTTGGGAAGCGAAGCAGCGAGACAGCCACATCTGTCGTACGTATGCGTTTGAAAGATTCTGACCTTCAGGGAACCATTTTCAGCGACCGTCGGGCCTCTCGGGGCGGTTTCGGGAACGTGATAGGCTTGGCCACCTAGTGACCCTTGCTCTTGGGCCGCTCTGGTGCCCTCTTGGAGCTTTACTGGGCTTCTCCTGGGGCGCTCTTTGGGGTCTTCGGAGCCATCTTGGAGCCCTGCCGGGCTCTTCTCGGACCGTCTTTGGCGATGTTGTAGTTGTCATCAGATTTCAGAAGCTCGAGCTCGTAGGAAGCGAGAAGGCGAGAAGGCCAACATCGGTGAATCGACATGCAATGTATACATCCTACCGAAGATTCTAGCACGTTTGTGGGTCGTTGGGTTAGCTGTTGCCCTTCCTCCTCATCCTCATCCTCCCACGCACCTCCCTCGTCGTACTCTTTCCTCCTCTTCGGTATGCCGTCCTTTTCTCCCCATCGGATGCCCCTCCGCCTCCTCCTGCTTCTTGTTTTTCCACCTGGCCGCCTACTAAATTGTCCTCCCCCTCCTCCTCCTCCCTGCTGTTTTCTCCTCCTTCTCCTTCACTAGCTCGACCTTCATCCTCTTTCCCAAGAGCTCCCACGTTGTGGACGTGAAGGCTACGCTCCCCCCCGGCATCCGTCCATTTTCTGCCGTGGGGGGTGGTTCGATTTCGTTTGGTCGACCAGCACTTGCGACAGGGACCGGATGTTTTATTTAATCGCTTCGTTCATTCCGCCGGCCCATAATGCGTAATCGCTGGGATTTGGCTGCGCGTCCGTGAGCCATGCTGCGAGCGAGAAGGAGGAGGAGGAGGAGGAGGAGGAGGAGGAGGGGGACATTTGGGAGCCAAGTTTGGTCGTGGACAAGACGCGTTTTTTAGAGGCCGTTTGGGGTCTCTTGGGAAGCCTCTCGAGGGCCTCTTGGCAGTATTTCTAGAGCCTCCTGGGGCCTCCTGGGGGCCTCTTGGGGGCGTTATGAGGTCTCCTGGGGACGTCTTGCGGCTTAGAGCGCGAAATGTCCGTTCCAGTCCCCCGCCGGGGCCAGGTCTTGGAGCCGTCTTGGAGGCATCTTGGGCCATCTTGGAGGTTTCTGGGGGTCTCTTAGGGCTCTCTGGGGTCGTTTCGGAACGGTCTTGAACCCTCGTAGGTCGTATTGGGGCGATATTGAAGGCTTTGTGGGCCGTCTTGGAGCGCTAGTAAGCCGAAGAGGCGAGAACGCCAAAATCCTCAAAAAAGCAATGAAAATCATAAATTTTGGCTTCTTGGGGGCCTCTTGGGAGGTCTCTTGGACGCATCTTGGGGCGTCTTGGGAGCATCTTGGGCCGTCTTGAGGCCATCTGGGCCGTCTTGGGGCGCTATTGGCTTCAGGCTGCTGGGCCTGCCACATATTTGGCGTCTCCTTGGAGCGCTCCTGGAGCGCTCCAGAGGCCTCCAGGGCCGCGCCCAGGAAGTCCGGCATCTCTGGCCCCCACCCTCCCGGGGACCTGCCGGGGTACTTTTCGCCCGGGGACTCCTAGGGGCCGCCCCGCGCGCGCGAGCTAGAAATGCTGTTTACCTGTTACCGGAGATCTTAGCACGCCCTGGCCCGTTGGGCCGGCGAATTCCCGGGCCGAGCGTTGAGTGCGATCACAGTGTCCAGTTTCACTGGTGGGTTGAATTCTGTAAGCGTCACAGGTCGTGTGTCACAAAGTCGTGGCTACTGGATCGCTAGCGTCACTTGGTAGTTGGAGAGGTTGCTGCCGGGAATTTTGGCTTAGCGCGTCGCTCCCCTGGTTTTGTCGGGGGAGCGTAAGACCCGGGTTTGCCAGGACTCGGGTTCGCCATTTTTTTTGACGACCGCGACTCGGATTTTGACGAGTAGGAGTTTCGTGGGATGTCTGCAGCGGGAGGCCTCGTCAAAATGCAGGCTCGGCCTCGTCATTTTTTTTGACGACCTCGTCGGGGATTTCCGAGTCCCCCGTACCCGGGTCTTACGTCTCCCCGGTTTTGTGCCCACCACGCGCGACACGCTAACCACTTCCCCACTTCCGAGATCGATGTCTCGAGTCTTTTTCCCGACCTCCGGCCCCGCGGAGCGGAGCGACACGCTGTCCGCCTGCAAGTCAATGCGTGTCGCCAGGGCCGCCGCCGCGACACGCTGAGCAAAATTTTCCTCGGGGGCGGACAGAACCCCCAACAGTGACACGTCGATTAGTGAATTGTCCGTTTTCGGCTCTCGAGAGGGCGCCGCGGCCGTTATTTTCCAGGCCTGCGCCCGCCAGGTTTGGGCCGCAGGTCGTTTTCACTAAACCACGTTTTACTAAAGGGAGGTCTGTCCATCCCCGATTTCCGGCCGCGCACTGAAAGGAGGCGGCAGAAATCCTCAACGTGCCCGCGTGCTGCCTGCAGCAGGAAAGGGGCTGCAGAACCGATTCTGGCCCGCGGTGGCCTTCAGTTCGGGAGGGCGCTCCAAAAGAATGATGGCAATGAGGGAGTGGTCTAAAAGTGCGCGGTGGGACAAGGGAAACGTGCGAGCGGAGTGCATGCGCAATGGTAAAGGAAGGACCCCTATCGGAGGATGAGGAGATGGAAGAGGGTGGCAGAGGCGGTGGAAAGATGAGGAGAAAGGGGTGGGGGAAAAAGCTAAGGACCATCTATTGCAGTGCGACGAGGGAGATAAGGAGGAAGGAGCAGGATCAGCAACAGCAGGTGTGCGAGGATGTGGGGAGATGGAGACATGGCTGAGCCCCAGCGCGTAGCCAGGCCCAGAGCTGTCTTGAGCGCCGCGTTGGCTCAAGCAGCGCCCCTTGATTCCGCGCGCACCCCTGTCATCAAAGTGCAGATCGGTGCGCGTGCGAATGCGGCGTGGGCATCGGATGACAGTTCGGCTGCGAAGGGCCCGTTCTTGGCCGGAGGCCTAAAAATTCATTGAAAACATTCCAGTCGAGGTGAGGCAGACGACCTGCGGCTCTATTTCGACGGTGTGCCATCCGTTGGCCGCCAGACCCTGGATCTGTATCTTGCAGCGGTTTCTGTGCAATCCAATGCCTTCGCCGCGCCAGGGGAGAGCATGGCATTCAGAGGGGACGTGCATGGCGGCAGCACCGGCTTGCAAGCCGGACTGGGCCTCATCGGTGGGCAGGCGGAAGCCGGCATCGAGAAGAAGTTGTACGTGAAGGTGGGGTTCTTTACGGGGGCCGTCTTCGTGGTCTCAGCAGCAATGTATTCCATCATCCACTACATGAGGGGGATCGAATGGGCTCCCGCGACTTTCTTCGGGAACGTGTTCCTTTTGGTCTTTGGGATATTGATGGTAGTGCTGGATTTCCCCATCCCGCATCCGCACCAGTCTCTGGTCGACATCAGAGACAACATTTACAAGTTTGTTCTCTTCATGACGCGCTTCACGGGGCGTGGCATCTGGTATTTGTTCCTTGCCACGCTGGTCTTCTCGACGCTCTGGGACGGGGGCGCTTCATGGCTGTTGGGCCTTATTTTCACGGGCTATCTCATCATTCTGGGCATCGCGGCCTTATATAAGGGCGGCATGATGAGCTACAAGCTCAACAAGGTGCGGGAAGAAATCTTGAAGTCCAACAGAAGCGCTGAGCATTATTTGGCTCCTAGCCAGAACTGTTTAAGCAAAGTGCAGTTCAATGCGATGGTAGAGAGCGTGATGCATGAACACGGGTTCTTCAGCGACGACGAGTTGGACTATGTGATTAATTCTTTGTCTTTCACGCCAGAGAACGATGGGCAGGTCTCGATGGAGGAAATCGAGTACTGGCTGAGTGACGGCCCCATGATGATCGTCTGAGAGGCTCAGCGCCGTCCCAGTGCGTAAGACTGACTCTTTCTTCAAGCCCCTGACCCATCGATTCCTTCGGGCGCCCCCAGACCGTGTCACACTGTTTTTGCCACCGCCGAGCTTGGACTGCAGATGCACTTCCGCAACGGCGGGCTAGTGCACAACAGCTTGCACAAATTCAGGATCCTCCTGCCAGTATGGGACGCACGGTGTGCCAGCCATGGCGTCCGAGAAAGTGCTGATACCCCTCCTCCCGCTCGTCGTCCTCCGCTTCCTCATCCTCCTCCAACTCCCTCCCACTCTCACTCCTCCGTTTCCTTTGAGGCTCAAGCCCGCGATTGATCAAGACCAGCTTTCGCATACGGTGCAGTCAAGACGGTGACATTAACGAGCAGTTCGGGTTCGGGCGGAGCTCGCTGTTCCTTGGATCATTCCATGGTTGTTCCTCTGGCGCGGCTCGCGCGCCCAGGTGCTTTTGGGGGCCAGGGGGGATGCTTCGCTCCTTGTGTGGCGCTCCTGATGGTAGAGCGATGACAGCATGCTCCCTTCATGCCTCGATGGTTGCTGATTGCGCACAGCGTGCCCATCATTACCGAAGCTCGCTTCTCTCAACGGGCCGCTCCCGCAATGGTGGCATGAACACTCTATGAGTGACAACAACTTGTCTTAGGTGGAATACAAAAAACACGACGTACAAGCACTACGTCAGCACACAACGAGAAACGACTCTACGTAGATTGCCACATTGTGGTGGCGCTGCTGGGCGCTCCCATGGCGCTCCCGCGGCGCTCCAGGCGGCGCTCCCCAGCGCGCTCCTGCGGCGCTCCAGCGGCCCGCTCCTCGCGGACTCGGGCGGCACTGATGGGAGACGCGGGCGACCGAGGTGTCTGCGCGCGGTTGTCTCTTTCCTGCGACGTGTTTTATGAGGTATTTTCGGGTAGCGCGCCGACGCAGGGCGCTCCTGAGGTGGTCCAGCGGCCCGCTCCCTGCGTACCTGGGCGTCGTTGACGAGAGACGCGGGCGACCGCAGTGTTTGCGCGTGGTTGTTTATGTTCTGCGCGGTGTTTTCTTTTGCGTCGTGCTTGTTTGCGTAGCGTGCCGACGTAAGGCGCTCATGCGGCGCTCCAGCGGCCCGCCCCTTGCGAACTCAGGCGGCGCTGACGACGGATGCGGGCACACTACGCAAATGCACAACAGGGCGCGTTCCCTGGCATGTGAAAGTGCGGCGCGGCAGAGCGCAGAGGAGCGCAACACAGCCCCAGGCACAGTAGCATCACCATTGTTATCTCCAGCGTCGCCAGGCCCACTTGTGGTGCTGGGACGCGTCCCCAGGCCTCGCAGTTCTGATCCCCGTGCTGGGTATCGTGGGTCGACCATGTGAATCCACGACGCGAACACATTACGCAAAAGCACTACGCGGAAACATTACGCGCTGATTCCAAGCGAAAGCACTACGTCTATTCGCCACGCGAAATACACTATGTAAATACACTACGCCCATGTATTTCGCAAACACCACGCAAGTCACCACGCAAATGCACTACGTGGCGCGTCCCCTGGCGTGTGAAAGTGCGGCGCGGCACAGAGCAGTGGAACACAATACAGTCCCATGACACAGTAGCATCACCACTGATATCTCCAGTATTGCCACTGCCCATCGCTCACTTGAGGTACTTGGAAGCGTACCCAGGCCTCGCAGTTCTGAATCACTTTCCCGGTGACGTGAAACCGCTACGCAAAAGTTGCACGCGGATGCCTTACGCGCGAAGTCCATGCGAAAGCACTACGTCCGTTCGCTACGCGAAATATTGCGCAAATACACTACGCAAATGTACTACGCAAGTGCACCGCGCAAACACAATACTCAAACCTCAAATACTTGGAAGCGCTCCCGTTCTGGGTTCGTGGGTCGACAATTCAAACACACAAACGCGAAACCACTACGCAAAAGCTGCACGCGGAAACACGACGCGTTAAGTCCACGCGAAAATACCGCGGCCATTCGCGACGCGAAGTATACTATGTAAGTACACGATGCAAATACACTGTGCAAACACAGTACTCAAATACACTACGTGGCGCGTCCCCTGGCACGTCATTGTGCGGCGCGGCACAGCACAGAGGAGCATGTCACAGTCCATGGCACAACAGCATCACCATTGACATCTCCAGCACTGCCACTGCCCATCGTCCAATTTAGGTGCTTGGAAGCGTCCCCTGGAAGCGTCCCCGGGCCTTGCAGTTCTGAATCCCGTTCTGGGTCGTGGGTCGATCATTTGAACACATGACGCGAAAGGACTACAATACGCGGAAACATTACGCGCGAATTCCATGCGAAAGCACCTCGTCGAGTTGCTACGCGAAGTATGTATTACGCGCATGCACTACGCAAACTTACTACGCAAATGCACGATGCTAATCCACTCCGCAAGTGCACTACGCGGCGCGTCCCCTGGCATGCGAAAGTGCGGCGCGGCACAGCGCAGATGAGCACAACGCGGCCCCTGGCACAGTAGCATAACCATTGATATCTCCAGCATTGCCGTTGCCCCTCGCCCAACTGAGGTGCTAGGACGCGTCCCCAGGCCTCGCAGTTCTGAATCCCTTGCTGAGTTCGTGGGTCGATCATGGGGACACATGGCGCGAAAAGATTCCGCAACACATTCACGCGGAAACGCGAACACGCGAAAACAGCACGTCTATTCGCTACGCCATCGACAGCATGTAAATACGCTGCGCAGATACATTACGCAAATATACCACGCAGATTATCTTACATTTAGGCGCAAGTCTCCCCGCAGGATCGACTTCACCAGGAGGTCCTGTCGCCCAGAGGATTGTGCCCCGTGCGAGATCACTCTTTCTGCTGTTCTGCGTCTGCAGCGATGTGTCCTTCGCCCGGCCCTCCTACATCAGGCGCATCGAATTGGGGCACTCCAGAGATGGCCTCGCCTTCGACACGTCCGCGCCTTCGGCGGAAGGCCAGCGGAAGCCTGTGGAAGTAAATCGGCAGCGGGTCTGCGGGCGGAAAGCGGCGGGAGTAGAAGTGAGTCGTCAACACTGGCCGAAAAGCCCGAGCAAGAAGTTGGCCTGCCAGTGGGTGTCCCATGGAAGTTTCTTGCTCCCCGACGGCGCAGCTGGAGTACTGGGGGCATCAAGCTCCAAGTTCGGCCGAGCACCGTGCCAGTGGATTTCTGACAGCCAGGCTTCTTGGCCTGCGCACTGGCTGCGTCCTTGCCCTGCGCTCGCTGGCCAGTTCTCCCGAGCCGTGCCATGGCTTCCGCCCCCGCGCGGGTGATCGCAACATGCTCGCGGACGGTGGCGGGCGCAGGGACACGCGCGCGGGGGAGAGCGACGCCGCGCCCGGGCATGCCATCAGGATCACCCGCGGGCCCGCGAAGGCAGCCATGCTTCGCGCTTCGCGGCGACAGGGGAGTGCAGAGTGTGGCCTCCTCTTCCCTCGCACCACTCCTCACTACTCACTCCACTCCTGTCCTGGTTCCTGGTCATCCTGCCCCTCCACCGCCCACCCCTTCTCGAGCTACCTACGTGCGCTCCTCCTCGCCCCCCCCCTCCTTGTTCTCAGCGCGGACCTCCGAACTACAACTTTACTGTTGCGAACAGAGGCGGTGCTATCGAGTCAGAGGGCTCAGCAGCGGGCATTCTTTCGTCCAAGGGCGGGGGCTCTGCGTGTGTTGCCCGTTTTGGGCCTCGGCCTCGGCAGCGTGGCGCCCCCCCCCCCCCTCCTGCGGGCTCGGTGGCGGGCGGGGGCGCCCCTCCCTTGGCAAGTGGGCGGAGGGCGCTGCCGGGTGGTGGCCGGAGGGTCGGGCGTTGGTTGGCCCTGAGGGGCAGCGCAGGGCGTCGGTGTCAGGGTGCGGCACACGCGCGGGGCCTCCGCGAGGTCGCGCCGTTCCGACGCGCCCTCTGATGCCTGAGCACAGCGTTCAACCCGCGCACGGGACGGCGATGGCTGCCGAGGCGGCTCAAGCGGCCCAGAGTTGAGAGCATGTTGTGAAGATTCGGTCCCAGTGTTTTCCCGAGGCACGGCCAAAACCTGATCATGGGGCCTCTCGGGCACACGTGGCAGGGCCGACCGACCCTGACGAGTGAGCGTTTCTTTCCCTAACGGAGTCCGAAGGGAGTCCACGCACCGGAAAATCAGGGCCTTGGTCCTGCCCGTCACTTTCAGGAGGTGGCCTATTGTATTACTGGACACGAATCACCGCGCGTCGCGGCACAGGTGCGGATGACATCTCGTATGATCCCATGTTTTTTTATGATGGGCGCCCCAACCCTAAAGCTGGGTTTAGGTACCTTTTTAAGCCTACAGCGAGCTTGGTAATCTTTCTCTTCCTCCTCACTCCTCTCTCGTCGTCCTCCCCCTCCCCCTCCACCTCCTACCCCTAAAGTTTTACGTACGCTCATCCTCTTCCCCCTCCTCCTTGTTCTCGGCGCGAACCTCAGAGTTGCGAACAGAACCGGGTACGCAGGCGAGTGGCGAGTGGAAGAGACGTGCTCTTCCCCCTTCCTCCTCCTCCTCCTCCTCCTCCTCCTCCTCCTCCTCCTCGTCATCCTCCTCCTCCTCCTCCTCCTCCTCCCTCCTCCCTCCTCCGTAGCCATTTTGGCTCAAGTCCGTCCCCTCCGTGGGATCTCGGACTTGGGCCGAAATGGGTTCCACAGCTGTCTCGCCCAAGGCCTCCTGGCCAAGCGCAGCGCCGCCCGCCGCCGTCGGCCGCGTCTCCATATGTCCATGTTCGCGCACGCTTGGGTGATCCCGATCGGCCTGGCGCTGCTGCAGCTGCTCGCGCTGTTCTCGCTGCACAGTGGCCTAGCGGTGATGCCCCACTGCCGATCGCAGGCCGCGGCTCATGCTCGCCAATGCCGTGCGATGCAGCTGGGATTCAGTCGTCGCCCCCTCCGTGTACCTCTTCGGCTTCACGATCTACTTCCACCTGCTTGTGCACGTCACTTGCCGACCAAGCTCATCCCGCTCTACCCGCTGGGCGTCTGCGGCAGCCATGAGCTCCAAGAGGTCGCGGACTTCATCCAGCGGCGTCGTGTGCAAGATGGGCCCCATGATGGTGCTGGGCCTCTGCGTGCTGCGCTGCCCGTCCGAGCTGACCTACGTCACGGAGCTGGCCCTCTGCCACCACCCGCACGTCAAGAACACCGCGCTGCTGACCCCGACGCCGATGGTGTCGCTGACGCTCTACTGCATGACTTTCGCCACGTCCCTGGAGCCGCCCGTGGCCGTGTTCCCCGTGGCGATGCCGCGCCTGAAGCTCTTTGCAATGGTGCTGGGCCGCTTCCCCAACACGTTCCTCTACATGGAGCTGGGCCTCTTCCTCGGCGTCGCGCTGGCGCTCCTGAACCTGCTCTGCATCCCACTGCCGCCGGTGGTGCTCATCCTCGTGACGCTGGTGATGTCCCCGATGCTCGTCGGCCCGCCGTGCATGCCGCTGCCGCTGGTGGCGCTCAACCTCGTGATGTTCCTGTTTCGCGAGCCGCCGCTGCTGGTGGCGCCCGACCTCGTGCTGCTGGCGATGCCCGCGCTGCTCTCCGTCCACTTGTCCGCGACTGGCATCGAGCTGCACGGCGCAAGACGCTACTCTAGAATAGGCCGCTCATACGCTGCTTCGACGCGTGGCTCGACCTTGTGGAGTGCGACCTGACAGTAGAGGACACTGCTGCCCGTGATGATGCCGCCGCTGGTGGCGACCCAGTCCCCGAAGGCACCGCCGAGTGCGGCGAACAACATGTTCTCGCAGCCGCCTTGCGTGGCGACCTTCCCGTACAAGATCTTCCTGACCATGATCGTGGAGCCGCTGCTGCTGCCCACCCCGACTGGGCTGTCCCAGGCGCCAAGTTCTTGCGACGCTCGGACATCATCCAGATCAGCGGCTGCAGCTGGTCACATCATAGCCTGGCGAATGAATTGGTTTGCACCGCGGCGGAGCTTCAGCATGGTGTTCTGCATGATGTTGCACGGGCCGTCATGCCGCCTGGAGTGTCTGCTGCTGTTCCCCACGACCTCCCCGAAGTACATGCACGTGACGTTGATCTCGACCACGCATGGGGAACCTACTGGGACTACGCACGCAAGGAATGGCACGGATCGGAAGCCCATCCCTCACAACCCGAAGCAGCTCTGCATGATGATGCACGCGCGCTTCTGCCGCCTAGTGTGGCTGCCGCTGCTCATGAGGCCCCCGCGGCCACCCGCCAATGTAGCCCTGAGCCCCCCGTGCGGCTCACCTCACCCCGCTCGTCCTTGTCGCCCTTCCCTCCTATTCCTGCTTTCCCAGCTCTCCACCAGGATCCTCACGATTTACATCCCGTTCCTAGTGCATGGCCCGATGCTCCTCACAGCATGCCCGTGGCCAGAGCGCCGAGCGCTGACGACCGCACGCTGGAAGTAGGCTGAGCGCGAGCTGCGGCGAGACCCGAGCAGGCATCTTGCCCTCGTCTCGCATCTTGCCCGCTTGCCCTCGTCTCTTCCTCTTGGGATACGGTCACTCCTCCCTCCTCCCTCCTCCCTCCTCCCTCTTCCTTCCTCCTCCTCTTTTCCTCCTCCTTCTCCTCCCTCCTGCTAGACGGCTTCTCGGAGCAAGCAGTTGAGGGAACGTCTGGCCCGAAAGTTCCAAGGAAATCATCCGCATGCCCACGGGCTCCTTCCGCTTACTGTCCAGGCCAGGGGGGGGTCTAGGACACACCTCCCCAGCCACATACATTCATGCTTCTGCGTCAGTCCCCGGGATTGTCTCTCGAAAGTGACGTGCCGCCTCTTAGCCATCCTAAATGTGCGACCTCCTCTTCGAGACGAAGAGCCAGGATCAGACGTACGCGCGCGATCCACTCCCAAAATGCCAGCATCGATATCAAAAACATGTTGTTGTGTGTATCTGGCGTAAGAAAACCGAAGAGGGAGCAGTTTCGCAATGTCTGGAGGTTGATCAGCATGCAGAGTGTACGCATGATATCACAAGCGTAACACCTGTTGCAGTATTCGCAAATACCTTCGGTGGAATCTTGGCTGCAAACAAATACTTACGCAAGCCAGCGCGCTCTCCCTCCTTCCCCAGGGCGGGACGCACAACGGGAACATTATGATAATGCGCATTGCTTTGCGAATACCCTGAAAGCAGAGGAGGAGAAGGCGGAGGAGGAGGAACTCCCAGCCATGGGCAAAGAGTGCAATCAAGGCAAAAGGGACTTTGACCCCGAGCTTGGCGAACGTATGTGCATGACGAAATATTGTTTTCGCGGGCAGCAGCCGAATGGGAAACCATGCGTCATAATTGCCATCGAACAGCTCGGGGAAAGGGTGGCCCGAACGGAAATTTCGAAACGCTAATTATTGGATTATCTGACGCGCGATCTTCAAAGTTTGTCGAATCACAACGGCTTGTCTGAGAAGCAACATCGCATGCTTGTTCTTATTCGTGCGGATCTGGACGAAGCTCAAAGAAAGGCACCGACGAGTTCGACCGGACATAAAGTTGATGATATTTCTCTTGCTATCGAACAGCTCGAAGAAGACGTGACATAGTGGGCCTGTTCGACAAGTAGATTTCCTGCCACATGAATACGAACGTTTGTCTTCTCATTGTGGGCTGTACGAGCATCGAAGAAATACTCAGGATATCATTCGGGCAGACCTGGAAGAGGCCGAAGATGAGATACAAGGGGCGACAGGAGCCCGAACCGACCACGTGCTGATGGACAGGACTTATGATTTACTTGCAAGCGGAAGCGAACACACCTGGGGATCTCGCTTCGGCATTGCGGGGCGAGGGCCCAGATTACGAAGTCACATGTGCTTTGCGATGCTGGGATAAATCGGTGTTGTGATGCTTGATGGCGGGGAATGCAACATGCTCGATCAATCTTATTTTCCCATCGTGCACAGGTTGCCAATGCACGCATCTGCCCGCGAGGAAGAACGACTGGCGCGTATTTTGCGCGTCGAGAAGTAATCGTCTCCCGTGCTGGGAGCGCTTGGCTCCAGGCTCAGCGTCTCCCCCCCTCCCCTCGGCTCCGCCCCAGGTCTCCCTCAGGGCGCGGGTTTAGGGTTTGTTCGCCAGATCTTGCGGGGCCCTCTGCGTTAGCATTGCTCGCCGCGAGCATTCCGGGGGCGCCGGGGGGCGGGCGCGGGGGAGAGGGTGGGCGGGTGGCGGGGGCGGAGCGTCGAGCGCTGCTGTTGGGTGTCGAATGCAGTTGCATAGCGTGTCCGTTGAGACTACAGATTATGCGCGGCGGGGGCGGGGATTTTTGGGGTCTCCCATTTTGGCCTGCGCAGCCGCTCGGGCTCGAGACCTACCGACTTGGGGCATTCTTGGCATGCTGTAGGGCCGTCTTGGAGGCCGTCTTGGGCGTCCTAAAAGCCTCCTGGGCCGTCTTGGGGGCCTCTTGGGGCCGTCTCGGGGGCCTCTTATGCCGTTCTGGGGCCACCTTGGAGGCGGGCGATCTTTGGGGGCTCTTGGGCCGTATCGGGCCGTCGGAAGGCCGAAACGAAGCAAATGTCAAAATCTGTCGAAAACCTACGGAACATCAGTGTTTTTGGCTTTTTCTGGCCTTCCTCGAGGCCCTCTTGGAGGCCTCTTGGGCCAGCTTCCAGCCAGCTTCGGCCATCTTGGTGGGCCCCTGGCCCGTCCGACGCTGTCGGAAACTGTTCGGGGGGCCTTTCTGTGCCCCAGGGCCGTCTTAGAGGCCATCTTGGGCGTCTTGGAGGCCTCTTGGGTCGTCTGTGTGACATTTTGGCGCCGTCTGGGGGGCTTCTTGGGCAGTCCTGAGGCCATCTTAGAGGCCTCTTGGGCGCTGTGGGGGCGATCTTGGGGGCCTCTTGGGCCGTCTGGTGTCGTCGGAAAGCCGAGAAGAAGCGAATTCGAGAATATTTCAAAAACTTATGAAAAACAATGATTTTGGTCTCTTTGGGCCCTCCTGGAGGACCTCTTGGAGGCCTCTTGGGCCGTCTTTGTTGGAGGCCTCTGGGGGGCCTCTTGGGCCGTCTTCGGCCGTCTTGGACTCTTGGGCCGTATGGGAGGCCGTCTTGGACCATCTTGGACGGATTTGGAGGCCATCTTGGACCATTTCGGGTGCCATCCTGGGCCAACGTGGCCATCCTGGAGACTATCTTGGGCCATCTGGAGCGAAACATTTCGACAATTGCGCGCCTTCCGGGTGACCGGCGGGACGGGCCGAAGCCCCAGGGGATTTTTTACCTAACAGCGAAGACTGATAGGTTTCTAGTGGTGTAACAAGAGAGCAGCAGATGACTCCACAGGGGGGTCTGGGCAGCCGTTGGGGAGCCGTTGGGGGGCCGTTGGGGGGCCGTTGGGGATTGCCGGGGAACCTCGTTTTTCGCAAACAGTCACACACTTCGTGCTCTTCGACCTCCCAGAACTCCATTCTTCGACCTCCCAGAACTCCATTCCCGGGCCACATTCTGAATGCCCGGAGCCAACTGTAGGCCACTTCGTGGTCTTCGAGTTCCCAGAACTCCATTCCCGGCGTACATTTTGGATGCCCGGAGCCAACTGTATTCCACTTCGTGGTCTTCGAGTTCCCAGAACTCCATTCCCGGGCCACATTTTGGATGCCCGGAGCCAACGCTGGAGAGCTAGTTGGCAAGAAAAATCTCGACGGAACTTTTGATGACTTTTGGTCGGTTGAAAATTTTGTTTTCGAAATTCAACCATTCGTTAGAGCTCTAGTATTTTTTCCCGTGATATTCGATCTTATTTCCGCTTGCCGTCTTGATCTCAGCTCGATCGGGTACCTTTTACTGCCAAAAAGCACACGGGCGGGATCAGCCGTTTCGAGTCATCTTAATACGCGCTGTCGGTTTTCTCAAGATAACTCGAGCTTCAAGACAGCTACAGAGCTGGTAAGCACAGCTAATCGATCCAGAATGATCAGGCGCGTTCGCCTGTCGAACCCAGAGGTCTGAACTGGGTCTGCTAGCCGAGCTAGGTCCGCAAGCCTATTCGTATTATTCGAGTCATCTTGACAGACGCTCTCGGTTTTCTGTACTTAACTCGAGCTACAGGACAGCTACAGAGCTGATGCGTACAGAATCTGATTCAGAATCATGAGTGGCCGTTGTCTGTTGAATCCAGAGCTCTGAACTCGGTCTGCTGCCCGATCTAGAATCGCGAAACTATTCGTATTGTTCGGGTCATCCTGAGAGGTGCTGTCGGTTTCCTGCACTTAACTCGGGCTGTAGGGGGGGCTGCAGGGCTGGTAATCACAGGAATCGATTCAGAGACATCAGACGCGTCCGCCTGTCGCATGCAGAGGTCGGAACTCATTCTGATACTCGAGCTAGGTTTGCCAAACTATTCGTATAGTTCGAGTCATCTTGAGAGGTGCTGTCGATTTACGCACGTAACTCGGGCTATAGGAGAGCTACAGAGCTCGTACAGAAGACAATCCAGAAGCATCTGGGGCGTTCGGCTGTTGCATCCGAGAGGTCTGAAATTGCTTGGGCTGAAAAACTATTTTTGTGTGTGTTTTTTTTCGACATTATATGTTGTCAGGAAGCTCTACGAGTCCCCCGGCGGTAACAAAGGTTGACGGTTTACCGCCGGCGCCCAGTTGGCCCAGCCGCCCGAGGCGGACAATGTGGCAACTTTTGGGTGATTTTGCAAAAATTTGAAAGATATTTGACCATTTATTTTGAGAAAGCAGATTTTTGCGCGTCGCATTGGCATATAAAATCCTCTCTGACAGCAGCTCAGCTCTCTTGATGCATTTTTGCATGAGTTGACTTCCAGGAACTGAGCGAATATGAACATCGAAAAAATCGAATTTGAAGATTTTCGAAAAATCTATATTTTTTCACTCTGTGTCGATTCTCTGCACTCTTACCAGTGAGAGGAGCTCTACGAGGTTCCCGGCGGTGACCAGGTTGACGGTTGACCGCCGGCGCCAGTCGATGAGCTAGAGGAATTCCGGCGCGGGGTGGAGCTAGTTGGTCGACTCGGCGAGAAAGGACAAAGTGATAACCTTTGGGCCGTTTTGCAATTTTTTGAAAGATATTTGACCATTCATTTTGAGAAAGCAGATTTTTCGCACCTGCAAACGACTATGAGGGCCTCTCTGTCTTAGTATGAGCTCTGTAGGCTTACTTTTACTATCAAAACACTTGGCGGAACCATCTTCATGTCGACACGAAAAAATCAATTTTTCTTTTTTTCGAGAAATGCTCCGAGAAGTTCTCTCTTTCGACTCCAAGCACTCTTACGCGTGAAAGAGCTCTACGAGGTTCCCAGCGGTGACCAGGTTGACGGTTCACCGCCGGCGCCAGTTCGGACGCGCTGGAGAGCTAGTTGGCAAGAAAAATCTCGACGGAACTTTTGCTGGCTTTTGCTCAGTTGAAAATTATGTTCTCAAAATTTGAACATTCGTTAGAGCTCTA